TTTAGAAACAAAAGTACATTTTATCATCATAACAACTCTGCGAAATAGGTATTATTTCATCCCTTGTTTACAGATAAGGACAGGGGAGAAACTTCTAGATGAGGAAAGAGCTTTGTCGGGTTGCCCACACTGCCCTGGTTGGGTGGATGTGCTTTTAAAAAGACTACCTTGTAGGACGCCATCGGTCTGTTAGTGACCCTTTTTCTGTGGGAGGTGCCAAGTTTGCATCCAGCCCAGCAACGCTCTGTTCGAACTCACCTCCCACAATGATGATCCGCTCCCCGAGCACCACGGCAGGAGCACACACGTTCTTGATCATTCTCGTTTCCATTTTGAACCATGTGTTTCTGGAAATGTGATAAACCTGAGGGGAAATAGAGTCATGGCACTGCATTTTAAAGCTAAACATTTTTTTTAACAAGACAGCAGTAGTAATGGAGAGGGTGAACTAGGAGTGAGTTTTTTCATTCTATTTTTTTCCAGTTGTTGAAATGTGGCTAGATTATTATCAATCAATAAAATGTTATTAAATAACAGAAAGAAGAATATTATTAGAAATCGATCTTTTAAGCAACCCCATGAGATCACTGGCTGCATATCTATAGGATGGACGGACAGTTCTGCATTGCAGGATGCATCTTGTTTACTATTAGAAATCGATCTTTTAAGCAACCCCATGAGATCACTGGCTGCATATCTATAGGATGGATGGACAGTTCTGCATTGCAGGATGCATCTTGCTTAGAACATTTTTTTCTTTTCACGAGAAATGGTGCAACTTGGGTATTCAGAAAACCAATGATTTTTCAGTCATTTTTATTTCTAGCTCATGTTTAAATTTCTAAATATTCCAGTGCATCTGAGAGGGTCTTAGAGCCATGAATACATTTGGGATAAATGAGCATGGCTTTTGAACAGTTCATGCCTGAAAGTCATGTGAGCCCTAGGAAAAAAAGCAGCATAAGAAAAGGAAGACCAGAGCAGAGACGGCCTGTGCCTTTGCCAGGCTCTGAAATCATGCGTCAAATGTGAATTCCCTAGAACAGGTTCTCCTATTAATGTCCTCAGTTCAAAACTCAAATGTCAAATGTATATTAGCTCATTAAGGGCAAAATTTAGCACCACAGATACAGGATAGACTTTACATTAAAAAAAAAAAAAGAATAACAACAAAAAGAAAGAACAAAAACATCTATTTACAGGGGAAATGGTGCAGTATTCTTCCCATGAAATTCTTTTCATATAAAATACAATTGCCAGCATTATTAAAGACTTTATTTTTATCGTTTTACCAAGTTTGATCTTCCCAGTCATCCTATGAGGCAGGTACTATCACTTCTTCCCATTTTTCAGATTAGACCATTGAGGCTCAGAGAGGTTAAGTGGCATTGTTACTGAGTGACAGATCCAGGTTCTCAGTCCATTCATGAAAGAAAAATCTTTCTTTTTCTTTTCTTTTCTTTTTTTTTTATGGGACCAGCAAAAGGAAAGGAAGAGAGGGACAGAGAAACGGGACATAATAGGGCTTTACTACCAAGCGAAGGTACCACCAAAAAAGTGTGCAGGTGTCTCTGCCAGAGAGAAATGCAGGTGCCCCCGACCTTCTCCTTTTCTGTCCCGGGTGGAAGCCCCTGATGGCCGTCCTCTGCCCTTTCTGTTCCACCTAGTTCGCAGGCGCTGGCTGATCCAATCTGGATATTTATGAACAGCCTCCCTGGGGTGTGTTCCTATTTTGCCCTGCCTCAGCATGCCCAAGGTCCTACAGCTAGAGTGAGTGGAAGGCTGGTCCGATTGAACCCGTGCTCTTAAACCATGACACTCATGTCCCTATCTGGAGACTTTCCTGACTGAGGCTTTAGAGACTGGAGATCTCTTGAAGTCTCTGTCAGTCCTTCAAGTCAGAGAAGCCTGAAGGAAGGCAAGTGCTAAAGACAGGGGCAATCCCAATGGCTGTGAAGCCTCGAGGTTTCATCTGAAAATATGTATAGGTGATAAACTCTTTGGAAAGTGGGATCTGGGAAGAAAAGCAAACACTGGTTGCATTTTACTTGAGTGAGTAATTGCCTCACAGCCTTCTGTTCTTTATCAGCTTCAGGTATGGTTTCAAAAATAGATTAAACATTTGCTCACAATCCTCCTAATTCCCCAGAGAGGCAAGGATAACAAAGGATGGTGTTTGAGCAGTGGAGGAAGTGATACTTTGTTATGGTAAGGGATTTGCTTAATGCCATCCAGAAACTGAGATAGAAAGAGGGCCAGGGAGAAAGGTAAACAGACACACAATTTGTATAGTAACCCCATTATGGTATTGTTCTTAAAAGAATGCATGCATGCATTACATGAATGTATCGAAATATAACTCTGTACCAATAAATATGTACAATTAACATGTTTCAATAAAAAGTTTTTTAAAAAAAGTTAATTCAGGCCTGGCTGGTTAGCTCAGTTGGTTACAGTGTGGTGTTACAACACCAAAGTCAAGGGTTTGGATCCCCATATTGGCCAGCCGCCAAACAAATAAACAAAACACTAAATTAATTCAGAACCTAAAAAAAAAAAAAAAAAAAAACCCTAAATTAATTCAGAACCCAAAAAAAAAAAAAAAACCCTAAATTAATTCAGAACCCAAAAAAAAAAAAAAAACCCTAAATTAATTCAGAACCCAAAAAAAAAAAAAAAAAAAGAATGCATGTAGATGAAGCATTCTATGAAGAAAACTCCAAACCTATGCCTGAAAATCCAAACTGCTCCCATGGAGTAACGCCAAGCATTCATTTTAAACTATACTTGAATAGTAAAATGTTCATTTCAAAGCTAGAGCTAAGTAGATAAGAAAAGCATCCAGATTAATACTTTTACCCTTTTCCTCTTCTCATTGCTGTGGTGCAAAAGGATCGCTCACAGGTTTCGTGTGTATGTGGCTTTGTAGAGATCTTGTTTGATTGTACTACATGTTTCTTTTCTTTTTTTTTTTTTTTTTGTCTTTTTTCCGTGTCCGGCAACGGATCGCAACCCTCAGTGTTGCCCCCGTACCGGACCGGGGACCGGCAACGGGATCGCAAGCCTCGGTGTCGCTCCCGCGCCTCGCTCAGCCAGTGAGCGGGAGCCGGTCTGTATGCGGGATCTGAACCCTCGGACGGGAGGGCCGCCGCGCTTCCCAAGCGGCGCACTACCCAGTGCGCCACCGGGCCGGCCCCATGTTTCTTGATACATTAGCCTAAAGCTTTTTTGAGCTTTGCATTTTATTCTTAGGAAGTTGATGACAATTTTGCAACATGAATTCACCAGCATATTTGTTGGCTCTGTTTTGGAAAATAGTCAAAAAAGAGGGCGGGGCTTTAGCTTTACATAAAAGCACTTTGTTATGTCTGTATTGTGTGGTCGTACCTTGGAGGGGAGCAGAACATGTCTCTCCCAGCTGAAGTAAAGGAGTGGGATTTGGAGCAGTATTTCTGGAAAGACTGAGAATCTACTTAGCTGGTCAGGGAGAGGCCAAAAATATGGCCTGGGGAAGTGAAGATGAGACAAAAACCTCCACTGGCACCAGCCGGTCCTAGCCATCATCATCCCTTGCCTGGGCCTCTATTTGTTTTATTTCATTTTATTTTATTTTATTTATTTTTTGCCTGGACCTCTAGAAGAATCTCCCGACTCTCCTCTGTTTGTCCACTCAGGCCCCCTCCAATCCCTTCTTTACAAGATGTCCAGCGGGAACTTCTAAAAATGCAAATTTGATGACCTCATGCCCCCTGCTTGAAAACCTTGAATGAGGTCTCATCACTCTCAGGCGACAATCCCAATTCCTTGGCAAGGCCTAGAAAGACCAGCCTCATCTCCACAAACACCCATCCCTCAAGAATGTTCCAGAATTTTTACAGGAGGGGCTCAGGCACAGCAGTCTGGGTGGAGGAGGTTGCTCAGGATAGCTTAGGAAGGGGGCCGATGGAGATGACATGAGGACCAAGAGGCACCCCTCTCTCCAGGGCTTCCCCTGGGCACGTGATCATTCTCCTCTTTGCTCTGTGTTGCAACTACCTTGTCATGCTTTCAGTTCCTTAAGGCAATGGGCTGTGCCCCCTTTGTATTTCAGGGCCTTTGTACAAGCTGTTCCCTTACCCGGGAACACTCCCTCTGCTCCAGACGCGTCTCTTGCACATTCTCTTAGCATCCACCCTCCCCGCCTCCCTCCTCTTTCATTCGTCCTCACCTGACATTCTCCTCTCCTGCTTCTCTGCTTAAGTCAGCTGAAGCCACCCTCACAGGGTCTCCAAAGTTCCCTGAATCGTAATGAGACTGGGTTAGGGCACCCCCTGTCCTCTTAGAGCACCCCTCTATTCAGCATCTGAATTGCGCTAGTCTTCCAGACTCCTTAAGGGTTAAGTGTAATTTGCTGTTCCCTCTTGGGAACAGGGCCGTCCCAGTGGTTGGTGTTTAACATAACTCTTATAAATGAACAAAGCACATCTCTGGGGTCTTCTGGATTATCTACAAAGATAAGCTCAGTGTTCAGGTTTTTCATGTCATTAGATGAACTGCAGAGGTTTCCAGAAACTTGCATAAAGTTGGAAAACACTTAATATTCTGAAATTTGACCTTTATTAATTGCACTTCTTAGAAAGCTAATTAGTGAAATTAATATCTACCTATCATTTAGGACATGAGTTCCCCAACATGGCTGCCCTTTAGAATCTCCTGGAAGCTTTTGTAAACCATACCTGTCAAGATCCCATACAAAGAGATTTGATTCAGCACATCTGAGGTCAGCACATCTAAGGGCATTTGGAAGCTGAAGTGTGGACCAAGGCTTGGGAATCTTCTTTTAAGGTCTTACTGATTTGGGTTAGAAGCATCTGTCAAATTCCTATAGGACTTCACTATCTGACATTTGATGTGTTCTAGCTTGAATTTTTAGATAATTTTTTTCTCAAATGAAGATAAACTCTTCATGGACAGGAATTGTATTTGATATACCTTTGCATGTATTACTCTTGCACAAAAAGAATTACTGAATTAAAAATCTTGCCCCAAATTCTTCTTCTTTTCCTCTCCCTCCTTTACTTCCTTCTTCCCCTGCAAATGACAAGTGTGTGTGTGTGCATGTGTGCATGTGTTCATATGCAGGCATGTATGCATGTATGTTTGTGTGCATGTAAGTGTACATGCATATGTATATGTGTTGATATGTGTATTTGCATGTGCGTGTGTGTGTGTGTGTGTGCATAAACACACTCACACACTTATAGGATGGGAAGAACGAGCCATTTACCTGAATGTAAGTGTACATGCATATGTATATGTGTTGATATGTGTATTTGCATGTGCGTGTGTGTGTGTGCATAAACACACACACTTATAGGATGGGAAGAACGAGCCATTTACCTGAATAAGGCGCACAGGGTTCTGCATGATGTCCTCTCCCCCAAAGAGGTACAGTCTTTGGTCTTTCACAGCGACAGCAGGATGGAGAACCCCAACTGGCATGCTGGCCATACTCTCCCAGACGTTGCAGATGCTGTCGTACCTCTCCAGGGAGCCCATGAGCTCTTGCCCTTCTCCAATGCCCCCGATGGAGAAGATGAAGTTCTTCTGGGCAGTGCTTCTGTGGGAGTAGCGGGCCGCCAGCATGGGCTCCCCCAGCCTCCACTGATTGAGTTTCAGGGAGAAGATGTAGACATTGTGACTGACCAGACTCTTCCCCGCATTAACAGCCATGCCCCCAAACACATAGACACTGCGGTGCAAGGTGACAGCCGAGGCCTTGTACAGCCGAGCTGGGAGTTTAGCAAGGCTCCGCCATTGGCCGGTTTGTCCATTGTATAGCAGGACGTCCCTGGTGGTCTGCTGGTTGTCCTTCCTTCCACCCAAGAGGATGAGGCAGTCTTGGTAAGAGTTCCTTGGAGGGACGTGCCATGGGGGCTTGCAGTCTGGGGTGCTGGTGCTGTGCAAAGAAAACATGTGCCTCTTGGCTGTCTCCAGGATGGTCCGGCATGTGGGTGAGGATTGAAGGAGGCTGTCATTGGCGATGAAGTGGTGGAAGAAGGCTGGATGGATGTACTGAAGCCTGACCTGCTGGAACAGGTCCTGCACGTATTGCTTCCGGGCCTGGAGGTCATGCTTGATCCAAACCATGAGGGCCTCAAACACCTTTTCCTCCTCCCCGCAGAGACCATCATCTCCCAGGTAGTCTTGCAACTCCACGGCGCAGAGCTCCTTCAGGTCTGCTGATGCAGCCACCTCTGGGAAACAGGTCAAGGCCACCTCCCTGGCTTTCTTCTTGAGGGTCTCACAGCTTAAGATTTCTGAGAGTCTGATCATGCCCAGGCAGTTGCTGGGGGCTAGCTGGCTCTGAAGGTATGAGGAGCAGGCCTCAAAGAGCTTGGGGTACTGCAGCATGGAGGCTGCCCCCATCAGGGGAAGGACGCTTTCGGCTGTGATGTGCACCTCACCCGTGTACACGTACAGGACGATCTGGTCCAGGGTTGGCGAGTCTATGCCTTTCAGCTGGACTTTGGCCTCACTGTTCTCCCGGAAATTGCTGCAGAACATGGCCTTGAAGTAGGGGCTGCTGGAGGCCAGTACATTTCGGTGGCAGGGGACCTCCCAGGTACCAGCGCAGATGCTCACATCTGTCAGCATCCTGTTTTGTCTCAAGCCATTGAGCTGCCTCAACAAGTCGGAGGAGAAGTCCTGGTCTTTGAAGAGCAGTTCATCTGGCGACTCCTCATCCATCCTACAAAGAGGGGAGGAAGTCCCAAAAGGAGCAAGGGCCAAGACTTTCTCAGCAGCCTGTGCGAAAGGGTCTAGCTGTGGGGGCTCCCAGACTCGTGCATCTACCTGCGTTCACCAGATGCTTGCAGGTATCGCCAAGAATATTGTGTAGTGAAGGCTGGAAAGGGAGGCCACCTGCACCCCAGGCCTCAAAGCCGATGCCTCAGTTTTTGGTTGTGATTAGTCTCAAAGGTGATAGGCAGATAGCATCTTCAGCTAATCTGAGAAAAAAACCCCAAACACCAAAGTTGGTGAAAGTTACTGGATTGTCCATGGCTGAAATGTTAGCCTGAAGCAAGGTAACAGTGCTGCATTCGATCAGCAGAAGTGTCCAGCCTTTCCCCAGTCTCAGCACATCCATAAATTTAGTAAAACCATCTAAACATCTCTTTCTGGGTGTTAGTCATTCCCCAAGGATGGCATTCTGGGGGTGTGGCCCTCTGGTAACTAGCCAGAAGTGAGGGATGAAAATACACTTTTACAACATATATATATATATGAGGGTACTTCAAAAAGTGCATGGAAAAATAGAATTAAAAGATAATACAGCTCTTTCCATGCGCCCTCTGGTAACTAGCCAGAAGTGAGGGATGAAAATACACTTTTACAACATATATATATATGAGGGTACTTCAAAAAGTGCATGGAAAAATAGAATTAAAAGATAATACAGCTCTTTCCATGAACTTTTTGAAGTATCCTCATATATATTTTTAAAAACATGACTTCATGGAGGCTTTCAGGTTTTATTTAAAGATGGAATAAATAGAAGCAGAGCCCAAACAGGACGCTGGTTCATTGGCTGGCATCTGGCAGTCTACCTGCAGAAGCATAAAGCATTAGGGATATTTACCTTGCTTTGCTGCAGTGATATCCACCGATGCCTGGTCTGACTTGTCCACCCGGAGAGCTTCTACCTCTGGCTCTAAGTGAAACCATAAACTCCAGGCCTTTCCTTCAGTTGGCAAATAATTTGTCCTGGGAGAGTTCTGGGTTTGTTTATGCTGAAGGCACTTTCACAGTTTTCTAGAGCTCTGTGCAAGGACGGCTGGGCAGGGAGACAGTGTATACATTCCAGGGCTAAGAATAGTTGCATATGTACTTTCCACTGTTATGACATGTGACTTTCCAGTTGCCTTTTGCAGCCACCCGAGGGCCTGTAGGGCCAGCGCATGCCCACATGCCTTGCTTCCTTGGCAAGTGTTTACATCGGCATAAATAGATCGAGAGGAACAGCTTCTCTTAGAGAAGAATTTGCCGCCCACTTGGAACCATCCTGAATCCCTTGTCTTAAAAGTGCCTGGGAATTACAGATGTCTGTAAACAGGTTATTGTGACTGGTGGAGAGTCACTGAAGATTGTTCTGGCCACGGTGAGGGGGGGTGGGTGGTCACAAGGCAAGCCAGACGTGGGCTCGTGGGTGCTGTGCCGTGGATCTTTATTTCCCACCATCTGCCAAGAAAGATCATTGAAGAGGACTGTGATTTCCTCCTGCAGGCTCCAAAGTGATGAACTCCATGACAAAAGTGTTTTTTTTTTTTTTTCTTCTCCATATTTGTTGAGTGCTCTGGAGTTTCCAGACTCATGAAAGCCCGAGCCTCTGCTGGGCCTCCACACCTCAAGAGCTCCTGCTTTGGAGTGGCAAGGCCGTGGTCCTCCTGCCACCCTGCCTCCCCCAGACACATACCGACGGTTCCTCAGATAGTGTTTTGTAGCTCAGGCTTCCTTTTCAGTTTTACTTTTCCATTTTCTCTCTTGTCCAGGAGGCTCGAGCTAGAGGCAGGAAGCAAAGCATATTGCTCCAGGGAGAGAGAGAAAAAAGAAGAGGAAAAGGAAGAGGATGAAGGGAAGGGTGGATGGAGGGAGGGAGGTGGGGGGGAGGACAGATGGGGGTGCGCAGGAGAATGATGGGGGTGATGGGGCAGGAGCAGTCTCTGATGATAAGGATCAGAACCACTACGAAGGGTTTTAGAACCACAAGAAAGCGTACCAGGGACCTCAGGTCTGTCCTGTTCCTGCCTTCAGGAAGGTCAGTGATTGTTCTATTCATGAGTGGCAGGGAAGCCTGACCTTCTCTCCTTCTCAAGTCTTGCTTGGGCAACTGCAGCAGCCTCCCATGCTGTTTTTTTTCTTACTCTAGTCTCTCTCCCTCCGATCCATCCACCCTGTCACCCCTGGAGTAGCCCCTGGCAGGGCGAGTCACAATCTGCCAGTTCCTGGCATCACGCCTTTTAATGGCTCCCCATGTCTTCTGAACTCCTTTGGAGGATTCGGATTGGTCTCTTGCCTGTTTCTAGAGTTATGTCTTCTCTCACTTGTATTCTTTTATTCTTGCTCTATCTGATAACTTACAGATCCTTGTGTGTGTCTGGTCCCCATGAGGGAGGCTGGGCTGGGCTGGCCTTTATGGGGTCCCAGGCAGGGTGGGGTAGGAAGAGTGTCTGTCACTCATAGTTGCAGATCACAGAGGAGATCATGCCCAAAAGAGGCCAGAAGGCCAAGATCAGAGAAGGGCAACCAGAATATGTCATAGGGTCAGGGGTCTGGAGGCCAGAATTGGGAGCAGGGCCTGAGCCAAGGGGATCAGAGACCACAGAGGTACAAGCAAGGAGCAGGAGAGAGGGGCTGTTGGTACAGAAGTCAGAGTTGGTGACTATTCCTGGGCTTCTGAGCCATGCTGGTGACATAACAGGTTGGTAGCCGACCTCCTTAAAGGGCCTGAGGTCCCTCTGTTTTGAGCTCTGTGCCTCACTGTGCTCTTCCCTTTGCCCTCTCTGTCCTTCCCACTGCTTCCAGTCATCCGGAGTTTGTGTATCACCCTCCAGAAGGCTTCCTTGACCCTCTCAGATGATTCTCACTCCTCTGCCCCGCTCCCCTTCCCCGTATGTACTTCTGAGGTTGCATGCCTCGTGCCTCATTGCAAGTACGTTTACCTGTCTGTGTCTCTTACTAAAGAGTGCAAGTCTCTGGACAGCAGACTCCCTGACTTAATTGTCCCCCTGCCCCCAGCCTCCAGCACAGTGCTGGCACACAGTGGTGACTCATATTTAGTTCCTGAAATGAGCTGTAAGAGAATGGGGAATGCGGAAAGACAGGGAGCTTGGTCGGGTGGGCTTCAAGCCCCCGTCTGCTGTGTGGGTTTAGCAGGGCTGCCAGGCGGTCCATAGACCACAAACGCAAATGGTGCTGTGGGATGTTCCTGAATGTCCCTCATTTTAATCAAGTCCACTAACATGCTCAATTGGAAAGTAAAATGATTGCTTTATGCAGAAGAGCAAGAGTATGTCAGGTTGGGAACAGGGCTGAGGGCCTCTCAAATCCAAAGCCAGTGCTTCTGTCCTCAGAGTCAGCACGAGGGAAAATAGCTGCCTTATTGCTCTGAAATGCCTGTATTCTCTTCAGCTGGCGAGCAAGCCAAGGGCTTGTTCTGAGGGTAATAGGTAGGGATCCTGGGAGTGAATTAATGCAGGGCCACCCACTGGCAGGGATCTTGGACAGTGCTGACTAATTAGACCTTCTGGAATCCAGCCTGTCAAGTGTTCAGATGAGCCTTGGTGTCCAATGTCAACGTCTGACCGACTTTAATAAATCTTTTGGTAATTAGACCTTCTGGAATCCAGCCTGTCAAGTGTTCAGATGAGCCTTGGTGTCCAATGTCATGTCTGACCGACTTTAATAAATCTTTTGGTTTCTAAAATTTAGAAAAAACAGGCCCCATTCTGTTGGTCTGGCCTACTGGGAGAATTCTGGCTGTACATGCAACGTCAGGAAAGACAGAGAGTCTTGGTGTTGACCTCACAGCAAACACACACGTACAACCCCAAGCCCAGTCCCAAAAGAACCTCTACCACCCACACGTAACCCCGACCGGCCTATTCACGAATCACTTTCTCTCGGAGACTTTTATACTTTCTGTCTTAACTTTCATCTAGAAGATGGCTTAGTTTAGGATCTGAACATATGGTCTCGGCGGGAGCGCCGCCGTGCTCCCAAGCGGCACACTCTCCAGTGCGCCACCGGGCCGGCCTGTAAATCTTTTGGTTTCTAACATTTAGAAAAAACAGGCCCCATTCTGTTGGTCTGGCCTACTGGGAGAATTCTGGCTCTACATGCAACGTCAGGAAAGACAGAGAGTCTTGGTGTTGACCTCACAGCAAACACACACCCCAAGCCCAGTCCCAAAAGAACCTCTACCACCCACACGTAACCCCGACCGGCCTATTCATGAATCACTTTCTCTCGGAGACTTTTATACTTTCTGTCTTAACTTTCATCTAGAAGATGGCTTAGTTTAGGATCTGAACATATGGCAACCTAAAATCAGCAAGGACATGCAGTTCTTTGTCCCTCCTTTCAACAAAAGTCAGTGCCATGATGAATCAAGTCCCAGACTTTGGGGACAAAAGGACTGGGGAGAATCTTGGCTTTTCTTCTCAATATCCGTGTGGCCTTGAGTGAGTTACTTATATTCTTCCAGGCTTGGTTTTGCCATCTGTTAAATGGGGATAACCATCCTTGTCACAGAGAAATAATGTATATGAAGCATCCAGTAAAATGCCCAGCCCAGTGTAGGTTCACAGTTAATTATGATTAGTATTACATTATTACTCTGAAAATAATCTCTTTAGAGTCCAGTGGGTCTTGGTGCCAGGTTTTCAGTGTCTAATTTGGTCTCTTGTGTGCTTGAGCTGTTTCCTTTGTCTTGAGCAATTGCTATGTTTTCACATTATCTACCCAGCCTCCAGGAGTCCCAGGTTTCGGTCTGGGCTCTACCACGAACTGGCTGTGCACCTTTGGACAAGTCACTGAAGCTCTCTGTACTTGTTTCCTCACCTGGCCATGAAGCTGTCAACCCCACCCCTTCCAGCTCGCCCTCCTGTGGCTTGTGCCCTGAGGTGTCCTCTGCAAGCTGTAGTCTAGAGAGGGGACTGGGAGAGACGGAGCCTCAGTGACGAAGCCCCCTCAGAGCTTCAGCATGC